CTTTGTTAACCGCTGTTGTAGACATGTTCCGTGCGCTCAAGAAGTCCGGCCTCCCGGCTGGGCATGTTTACTCGGTCACCGTCGGGGCCAGTTCGAAGCAGACGGAGGCCAGCTGGCACCTCCTTGAGCCAGCCGACGTGATCGGAACGATTTCGATGCTGAACAATAGTTCTTGTGCACAAGAATACTAGGGACGATGTGAGGCAGGGCGGGTCGTGCCATGCTTGGCCGGTTGGGCTGCAAAATCACCTTCTAACGAAATATGATTACTTTGCACTAGCGATATATAACCTCGTGTTCTTTGATCCCGGGGAGAGCGTAGACCAAGTCGACGGGTCGAGGAGGTATCGACGGGTCGAACATGCAACAGGGGGAAGGTGTTTGAAGGAGGGTGGTGCGGAGAGGTTCCTGGCAACTGCATCGTCAGCGTTGTGAGGCTTCTTCTGCTTCTGCTTCTGCTTCTGCTTCTTCTTCTTCTACTCTTCAGATTCTTTTCCACTATTGTTCCGCCTCGCTTTTTCCCGGCTGGCTGTGTGACTTTCTGCATTGGTTTCCATTGACTTTGCTATAGATAGAGGGCGGAGAGACAGCTACGCCTTTGAATATAAGCTGTTAGAGGATAGAGATATGATGAAGTCGAGTTCTTTTCCTGCTGACAGGAAGCCAATGAGTGCCAATTGAATCTGGAGTAAAGGAGCTTCAGCTTAATCCGATCATGTTAGGTCGGATCGGATGCACGTTTCCGCAGTAGATGGTAGAGGTAGACCTGTTCTACAGTATGGTCGATGATAGGAAGCTGTCAATATCTCCTCTATCCTGAGAAGATATACAAAGCGAATAACGGATTATCTAGTCAATCACGATCGCATACCGAGGGGCTTGAGTCCCCCGGAAAATAAAATGCGGGGAGTTCTGAGTTCCGAAACATCAATGACAGTACATGTAGATAGTAAAAGAAATCTCATGAAAAAGTTGCATCCATCATCACTAGACCAGCATCCAAGATGCCCTTCTGAAATCCACTACATATTCATGAATGATCGTCGCGGACAGCCCCTCATCCCCCGGATGCTGTTGCCGACGCTTCACGATGACTCGACTTCGGTCTTCTGTGCGAACCACTAGAAAAATCCTGTCTGGGGTCGTTGGCAACTAATCCTAGCTCGAGGAATTGAAAATAGGAAGCAACCATCACTCTTGTGCTTATGATCGATTAGATTAGAGAACAAATAAAACGAGAACTGGTCTTCCAGCTGTGTTGTTTCTGCGGTCGCTTTCTCCAGTCGCATTCGGCTTCCGTTGTGGGTGAGGGTTTTTTGAGTCATTGAGCTACGGTAGGTATACTTGTATCCGAGCACGACTCTGTCTATTTATCTCATGTTTCCGATCTTCTGGAGATTCGTATCCTAGTATATTTCGAATATTTGCTGATGAGACATAGGTGATGGCACGAGACCAGCCTCCCGACGCTGTCGCGGTCGATGAAAAAGACCCTGAGGACACCACAAGTGACCGCTTTGTTCCTCTGGCAGGCTTGCCCCGCGATGAGGAGTCCGGTGTGAGCAATGGTGTCGATCCTCGGTCGAAGGAGCTCGCGAGAACCGTCACCAACACCAGTCACATCGGAACATTGGCTGCCCGGACCTTGTCGCTGGTGCGGACCAGAGAATCCGGAAAGGATATCGGCCCTCCTCCCGATGGAGGCCTCTTTGCTTGGTTCCAGGTCCTTCTGGCCCATTTCGTCATCTTCAACACTTGGGGGTACATCAACGGGTTCGGTGTTTTCCAGACATACTATACGGAGCACCTGGGCCGGCCTCCCTCCGACATTTCCTGGGTCGGCAGTATCCAGATTTTCTTGCTCTTCTTCATTGGAACACTGTCGGGCCGTGCGACGGATGCCGGCTTCTTCAAGGTCACTTTGGCCACGGGAGCGCTGCTGGAGGTCTTTTGCATCTTCATGACCTCTCTGTGTACCGAGTACTGGCAGCTGTTCCTAGCTCAGGGAGTCGGTCAGGGAATCGGTTGCGGCCTCATGTTCTGCCCGACCATAGCCCTGATGGCCACCTATTTTACCACGAAACGTGCCCTTGCCATCGGGATCGTGGCCTGCGGATCGGCGACGGGGGGGTTGGTCTTTCCGGCGGTCGTCGTGCGCCTGCTGCCCCAGGTCGGATACGGCTGGACGATGCGGGTTCTGGGCTTCATCACCCTGGCCACGCTCATCCCTCCGGTGGTTTTCCTAAAACAACGATTGCCGCCCCGTAAGAGCGGCCCGCTGGTGGAATGGGGCGCCTTCAAGGAGCTGCCGTACCTGTTCTTTGCCATCGGCATGTTCCTCAACTTCTGGGGGCTCTATGTCGGCTTCTTCTACATCGGCAGCTTTGGCCGCAACATCATCGGCGTCTCCGAGACCACCTCGGTGTATATCCTGCTTGTCATGAACGGCATCGGTATCCTGGGTCGGGTGATCCCCAATACCATGGCCGACTGGTATACCGGTCCGTTGAACATGCTCATCCCCTTCAGCCTGGTCACCGGCTTGGTAGCCTTCTGCTGGGCCGGGGTCGACGAGATTCACGGGTTATACACATGGAGCGCCTTCTATGGTCTGGCCGCCGCGGGCATCCAGTCGTTATTCCCAGCCACCCTGACCTCCCTGACCACCGACTTGAAGAAAGCCGGAGTGAGGATGGGCATGGTGCTCAGCGTGGTCGCAGTCGCAGCGCTGATCGGGTCTCCGATCGCGGGGGCTCTGGTCCAGACGGACGATGGACATTACCTATACGCTCAGATGTTCATGGGCAGTGCGATTCTAGCCGGTACCCTGACCTTGGTCGCTGCAAGAGTGGCGAAACTGGGATTCACATGGCATCGGATGTAGAACTCAGCCACGGGGCTTGCTGTTGACTGGATCTTGGAAAAAAAGTAATGATGAAGCAGGCCCATATCATGCTGGGCGTGATCTCATGAAACGATTAGTATTTGAGTTGAGAACCTGCACCATCTGATGGTTATCGTAGACAAATAATATGAAGTATCCAATGTTGTGATGGGTAATAATCGTTGGCGGTGGAGCTGTCTTTTCCTTTGCTTCTCCCCGCCTGGGAAATCCTCTGCGTGACTCAAACATTCAACTTGCACGTCGCCATTCTCTCGATCTAAAGGGATTCTCTGCTGCCACTCTAGCCTCTTCCTCCGATCGATTCAATTCGTTGTACCGTATTTCCTTCCCAGGAAGATGTGAGCTTCTCGTCCACAATTTGTTCCCCCCTCCCGCTCTGCCCCTCCATACAACCATCTCCGTCTACAGCAGCTTTGAGACAGCGTAGACTTTGCTAATTGGCCGTGTTGATTCATTCAGATCTTGATAACCACTTGCACTCCTGGAGCTTTTCGCAATTTACGCTACATCCTGCATCTCTACTTAACATGGCACCCCGCGGTCGCGGAAAGTTCTCCAAACCCAGCAGAGGAGGTAGGTGACGGACGCATCCACGCATTACTTTCGAACCGGGAGAACAAACAAGGAGATATTGATTCAAGAATACTGATGCGTCTTCTCCTCTTCGCGACATCCAGGCGGCAAGCGTTTCAGTCGCGATGTTCAACCGGTTGACAAGGACGGAAACCCCGTTGGTTTATGGCGGGTACGTGCCTCTAAATTTCCTCCAGGGAACCGAACCCATCGTATCTGCAGGAATGAGACTCTGACTTCTCATCCCTCCGCTGCTCTGCCGTGCAGGAACCAGGCGACGACATCCCCTCGTCAGGCGAAGAGGATGAATCAGAAGAACCCTCCGGTTCCGAGGAGGAGTCCTCGGACGAGGACAACGCACAAGCCGGGCCCAGCTCCGTCGCCGGATCATCAGCAGGGCCAGCAGCCGGACCAGAGATGACCCGCGAGGAACGACGCGCCGCAGCCAAGGCGAAGAAGCTGGCCGCGATCGCGCGACGGAACAAAGTCGCCGCGCAACCGGGCGACCTGCCCCCCTCGGACTCGGAGGAAGACGAGAGCGACGACGCTGACGACGAGGATCTCCCCGCCAACCCGAACCACACCGCCAAGTCCCGCTCACAACTGCACAAGGACCCCGCGACGACGGATCAGAAGAAGGCCGCGGGCGGCGATCTCTCGCAGCTCTCCCGGCGGGAGCGCGAAGCCATTGAGGCGCAGCAGGCCCGGGAGCGGTATCTGAAACTGCACGCCGAGGGCAAGACGGAGGAGGCGCGGGCGGACCTGGCCCGTCTGGCCATCATCCGGGAGCAGCGCGAGGCCGAACGGCTGCGCAGGGAGGCCGAGAAGGAGGAAAAAGCGGCGCTGGCTCGGGAGAGGGCGGCGGCGCGCGAGCGGGAGCTGAAGCGCCGCGAGGAGACCAAGGGTAAGAAGAAGGGAGGCCCGAAGAAGAATTAGTGAAGCTGTTGACGCTGAAACTCTTCCCTTTCCCATCCTGGGGGGTCTTTCCACTTGCCACCCACGCTGCAATGAAGTGATGACTCTCTCTCTCTCTCTCTCTCTTTGTTTCTCTCTCTGGCTTGGACAATGTCGGCAATATATCTCTCTGGTTGATCTTGAGTATATACTCGTTCTAGACGTTTTGAACAGCTGTGATCGTTACAGGGATGACTGCATGTTCGGCATCCAGTCCGCATTTATTGACATTTCAAAGATATCGTAACACCGAGTCAATACAGAATTGAGTGGGTGGTCACACCAAAAGGACTCGCCATAAGCGGGTAGATGATCTATGTACAACGGAAGACGCACAACCAACCAAAATCATTGCAACATGCCATGTTATGCAGATTATGCACCCAAATCACGAAAGACAAACAAAAACCGGAACGAACCAAATGACACCCATGTACACCAACGCCCTATTTTCTGAGCTCGATGGAGCAGCGGGGGAAAAGTGGGATATATATGAACAGTGCATGTATCGGTCGACGCATTAACGCTATCTTAGCACAATGGTACCAATTCGAGCATCTGAATGGCTTCAGACACCCCAGAACAACCCCTCCACGCTGTGTCCGTGCATGACGACCCCCCAGCCGGCTATGAGACTCACGAGCCACATGATGGACAAGACCAAGATCGGGAGGAGTAGGAGCTCGGTGTTGTGCAGGAACGGGAGGGCATTGTACCCCAGAAAGGTAATATAGGTGTAGTAGATCAGCGCGGAGAGATAGAGCGTATTTCCCAGGAAAGTAGCGAGGAAGTTGCTCGGACTGCGGGTGAGTAAGGGTAGAAGAAGGAATTGGACGACATAGAGGTGGAGATATAGAGGGAAGAAGGCCCGATTCGAGACCTGGACAACCCCAAGTCAGCTCCAGCCTTGCCGGGGTCGGGTTGCCAGTTTTTGGAAAACCAATCCAGGGCGTCGGGAGTGAAACTCACATCAAAGCAGTATCCAAACTCCAGTTGATCCTTCTCCCCAGGCTGCACGAACAAGCCTTGTGCGGCGCCGCGCCTTCGTCCGCGAGACCCTCTGAATCCGGACAGAGATGCGGCCGCACCGTCAGGGCCAAAGAGTCGTGGAATCGCAAAGTAGGCTACGGTCGATACCACCAGCGACGAACCGATGAAGTGGACAAAGATGAAGAGGAGCGACAGGCGGACGATCGAGCCAAAGGCCGGCGCATAAGCAAGGCCCCAAGCGAGCGCAGTGAGCAGGAGAAAGAATGAGAGCAAATATGTAAAGGAAGGGTCCGGACGGTGCCAGGTATTTTTAGTTTCTGTACCGACAAGTAAGAGAGGGTCAGCTGTATTGATTCTGTGATCTCCCCGCTGGTCTGGTCCGGAAGTTTCGAACAAGGGGAAGAGCATTCAACGTACGTTTCTATCAACCGGCCATGGCATTTTAGCAAAGGGTCACCAGGCTGAAGTCAAACACGGATAGAGAAGCAACTCTTACATGATAATAGATTGATTTAAACACCTTCTTGGGAGCTATCAATAGTGATGTCATCTCCCAGATTGCCATTTCAAAGTCCATCTGCGGGAACTTGAATAGCCTGCTCCGCAAAAGGTACGGTCAGCCATGTTCAAGCCGTGAGAGACAGGCGAATATCCAGGATTATCCAGTCGCAGACATCCGGATGATAGCCGAGTCTAAAGGCCTACCTCTTGAAGAAACGCGGCATTCGCATACTGGATCCGCGACTGGATGCGGTTGTGCCACCAAAGCTGGCAGGACTGGCATGTTGACGAGGGACAGAGATGGTCGGGTTCATCTTGTAGAGTACAGAATTTGCAGAAAGATTCCCCGGTTTTCTCAGAATTCCTGAGAGGGGGAACAACGTGTGTAGTCCACTGAGGAGAAAAGTGGATGGCTAGGTACTGATCCCGCCTTACACCTGTTGCTGATGTTGTCTGTCTTGGTGGAGATGCGTGTCGGCGCTGCTCCCGTTGCTGGCAGTTATGTCATCTGTTGACGCCCTTACTAAGCACTGACTACTAGTTACTACAATACACACGAATGTTGACGGCGTACATTCTGACATTCCATTCCATTCTCTCTTAAACGCTGCTGACGCTTATTGAATTTCCTATGATCGATGACATTTTGACATCTGGCTCTGGATGAGCTTGAGGTTTCGACATGACACTTACATATCGCCCGTTTGCCTAGAAGATAACATGATCTAAGATGCATGGTTGAGAGCAGGAATTGTTCCTGATAGCAGCACCGATGAGCTGAAAGATCAAGAACCAAGAACATAGTGTTCTTCACGAGACTTAAATGTGATCGCTCTATGATAGACTTCCTCATGAGAGCAGCAGATCATTTCGATCGCGAGAGAGAAAGTGTTGACGAGTGACTGGTCTCAACTGATTTCCGCAGGTCTCTATCCCCTCAGTCACAGTGAACTATTAAGGTGTCGATTGTCGATGAGTCCATGATACACATGGGTTTTCGACGATGGATCGAAGCAGAAGATGATTCGAAGTACAGATCGTCGAAGGCCATGCATGGTTCATGGAAGGTTCAAAGTTCTGACACGTCACAAGCGATGTATGCCTTACACAGGCCGGCGATTCAGCAATTCGTCTGGCTACATGGGGGACATAGACCAACAGTCCACAGAGTTCGGGCTGCCGAGATGGAAAAGATGAGATGTATCCATGCATATGAGGTACTTGGATCCTCGGGTGCTTCCGCTTATTGAGTTGATGGCGATGGTGCCTGACTTTCTATCACCATGTGCCTTTGAAATATCCCATTGTTATTTATTGTTCTCAGTTGAACTATACAATTTACGTACAATTCTTTACTATGAGCAGCATGACTATGACAGTACACCAGCAATTCTACTTGAAACTAATCACTTTACAGTGATAATGTATTTCCTCGCTTACAGGGATACTTTCTATGACACTGACACTCTGTCAAAGCTTCTAGTTCATTTATCTCCATTAGTACGGAGCAGATACTCCGTAGATAATCCTTGGGGCAGTCCCCACCAGCCCACATGGATGAATAGTTCAACGATGGGCCGATAGGCCGGCCTAGGTATGATCATGATTTATGACCTTGAATATCAACTGCTACCTAGCAATGTATGCACCATGCGAGTCAGTTCTAGACGAAGAATTACCGCATTCATTATCAAATCCAATAGTGTATTTGAACAGGTAGAGTGATAATAACAGAGAAATTATGCCATGCAGATTCTCAGACACCCGACGCCAGACTCAGACAGTAGACTGTTAACTTTGGTTGTTCAAACTAGCGATTCTTAGTGTCAAGCCTCTTCTTCCAACAAAGCAGCTCTAGCCGTATCTGAATAAGTGTGTAGCGAGCAAGTGGGCTATCTAGTAGATAGACAGAATGTTAGTTCGATCTTCTCATTCTGCACTTCTGCCCCTGAAAAGTTACGACTTGGTAGACTCCAACCAGGAACACATGCGATATGTGGTAGACAAGACATAATGACAGTCGCATTGACAATTACTAGTAACTAATGGAGAACTCAATTCTCATCGCCTCGTCTGTAAACATTTAATATCCATCGCTGTCTCCTTGAACCCCTTCGGTGTTTCATCCTTGAGGGTTCCGGTTCCTGGTCCCTTGCCTGAGGCTTCCACGGTTCGTTCTCCAGTTTCCATCATTCCCCTCCCCAATCATCATTCATTTGGTTATTTCATCTAGCATTTTCATGGTCTTTATCGTCTTCTTTTTCTTCTCTGACTGCCCTTTGCTGCCAGACTCCTCAGAACGTCACCGGATGCTTTGCGATCTGTCGTTTTCTCTCGTTCAATTGACCTTCTCTTTCTCCGATTCCCCCTGCTGCGCGGAATCAAGGTCATCGTTGCTCCCACTCCCACAATGACCGACAGGTGACATTCACACGAAGCCCGGTTTGAATTTGGAAGGACTATATGTATATGGCCAACTCGCAGACAGGCAGCCATTGTGATTGAGAGAAGCCCCGATCAGAACTCGTCCACGTTTCGTCCTCGTACTGGACGACGTAGCGGGTGGCAGCTTTTTCTACACGGTGTGCCCAAGCGTTGACGGGTCGCTGGTCCTTCTCTACCTCATCCCGCTACACACGAATCCTGAGCAAGCCCTCAACCATGAATCGTCTAGTCCGGTCGAGCAGCATCAGAAAGGATGCCCACACGAATCGCTCGCCCCCTCGAACGCCGCCTTCTCAAGCGTCCAACTACAAGCCGCCCAAGCGAGGGCTCCATCCCCGTCCCTCGTTGCGCGAAACCTTCTTAGACGATACGAATCCAGCCGACAATGCGAACAACAGCAGTAACGATTCAAGTGAAGAGCGGGATCCTCATGATCTCTCGCTGTCTCCAAAACATGCCGCGCGCACGTCCATTGTCGACAATATGTTGCTTTCTCTTGATCAGTTCGCTTTGTCCACAGGCAATTCGATTCTCGACGACTACCGACTCTTCAACTCGGTCTTCGAGTCCGAATTGTACGGTCGCAACTCACAGGAGTCTGTGGGACCGCATCGGTACCGCGGCCATACATTCTCCTCTTCCCTTTCATCAGAAGCGGACTTTGGCTACGACGACAGCTCAGCTCGCTATGGAACCCAGCCCGCCAGAGGGCGCCGGAGCAACAGTAGCTCCCAGTATCATTCCAGCCTGAGACGAATCGGGAGTACTCGCAGCCGAGAAGGGACCAATTCACGAGGTCAACTCTATGACTATCGAACCGTCACAGGGGCCGATCAAACGACTCGCGCTACGAGGAAAAGCAGCAAAGCAAGCGGATCCTCCAACCTCGATTTCGGCCCACCTCTCATCAGAGGGAGAGCGGACTCGGCTGGTGAGCGACGGTCGGCAAGCTTCGATTACGGTACCAGGCCGGCTTTCAATGCCGCCGACTATGACTCCACGTTCTACGACAGCACAGACGCCGCTCCAACACCCAGCGTGCCGGCTGGCCCCCGGAAGTTACAGTCCTCGTCTCAAAATGATTATGCCGGTGCCTTGAACCCTCAGTCCTCGCGGACACCCGTCGCCTCCAGGCGGAACAGCATCAAATCGTCCCGAACCAACCATGCCAGGAAATCTCGGCCAGAGAACATCGGTACCAGCTCCATCATGCGAGGCCCGGACAACGAGCTCGCCAGTCTGGCCGATGACGGGCTGGATCCGCCTCCAGCAATATCAGCGACACTCGACCCGCCCGCTCCAAGTCCGACCATTTCGTTCAATAAACCGGCCCTACTGCCCCCGCCGGATCCCACACCTATCAAGGAGCGCCAGGGATTTTTCCGGCGCGTGTTCGGATCATCGAGAACCACTGCTCCAGGACCGTCAGAAAGTATCCAATCTGACAGCACACTGTCCCAAGCGAATGACACCAAGGAGACAAACGCAGCCGGCGGAAGTCTCAGGGCCCGCAGACAACCGTTAAGAAACAATGCGTCTGGTACAAATGCACTCCGCGAAGGTCAACCACATGTGGTGAACAAGAAGTCTTCTTTCTTCCGTCGGCGAAAGAAGTCGATATCGATGACTGACAACGTACCGCCTCCCATTATTCTTCCTCAGGAACTAGGCCCCAAGGCTATGGAGATATTGAAACCGGAGCCCAGTCCTGTTAGTAGTCTCAGAAAGGTGATGAATCCGTACCTTGCTGATGGTATTGGCCCCGCATGTGATAAGTCCAATAATGGCCCGATTCGGGTCGCAGGTGCAGATCATGCAGAAAATATGAATACGGGCCTTCCCTCAGCAGAGAACGAGAAAGAAAACGTTTCTACAGCTCCCGCCAAGGGCGGTCAGAAATCAAAATACAGCCTATACCCGCCTCCAACCGCGGGCAGTGGCCACGATACATCATTCCTGATGAGCAGCAGCGGAGATGAAGAGTCCACTGCCAGGACCGCTGAACTGGATTCGACCTCCTCTATTGACCGAAAGCAGGAGAGAATGGCGGTCGAGGATGGCGTCAATCCTTCCGAAAGCGAGAAGGTTGGCCAGATGGCTGATGACACCTCCCAAATCATGACCGCACCGACGATGAAATCCGCCCCGGCTTTGTCTCCGGTAGTCGAGAGTATTTCTCCGGCGAGTGTGTCACCTCTGGAAGATTCGGAGAACTCAATCACGGAAACCGCCACCGTAAACTCGGATGAGAGAACTGTAGGACATCCCCAAAGATCCGACTCCTGCGGAGACCATCAGACTGCGCCCAGCAAGCTGTCGATCCCCGCTGTGAAGGCGGATGCTTCGCCTCAAGTCTCGCCTGCAGAATCGGAAGAATACTTTACAGCCGCCAACACCCCCGCGGTGCCGTCGGAGGATCCCAAGCCTCCACAGATCATCGAGGACACCGCTGAGTGCTCTGACAACGCCTTGTCAGACGGTCCCTCGAGCTCTGATAGGGATCAAGCAAAGCGACTGTTCGATAGTCAAGACCAAGTGGTAGGCAATGAGCCGGCTGCTGCCTGGCTTGGCGATCCTGCTCGTGCTTCTATCAGAGAGGCATATATGGAGTTCTTCGACTGGTCCAACATGAACATTCTTGCAGCACTACGAAGCCTTTGTACTCGCTTAGTACTCAAGGGCGAGACGCAACAGGTAGATCGAGTGCTGGATGCTTTTTCGATGAGGTGGTGCCAGTGTAACCCACGGCATGGCTTCAAAGCTGCAGGTGCGTTCACTTTCCTTCACCCTCGTTATAGAGTATATCCAGGCCTAACATAGTTTAGACGTTGTCCACACTATCTGCTATTCTTTACTACTTTTGAACACCGACCTTCACCTGGCGGATATTGAGCAGAAGATGACGAAGAATCAGTTCGTTCGGAACACAATGCCGACAATCCATCGAGTCGCTGTTGATGCAGCTCCGGACGGGTTCGAAACCATTCGCCCTGCTAATCGATCGAGACTGTCGACGCAAGAAACGGGTTCGTTAGCCTCTCGGTCGCAGTCCAACCCAACCAACGATTCCGAGGCATCCAATGCAGAGACAAACCGGCCGACTCACCCTCCCCACAAGCTAGTTAATCGATTGTCTCGAACCGATCTCTCGATTAAGTTGTCGGGTGATCCTGAAAGCGACGTCGGTCCGTTGGTTAATGCGCCATTCAATGGACCGATGAGGCTATGGGAGCAACAGGTGGAGACTGTGCTGAGAGACTTCTACTCGTCGATTCAGAAGCAAAAGCTTCCGCTCCATGGCGCTGCAACCGATAAAGACGGTCCGCAACCCCAGTCAAACAATCTACTCGGCCCTGGCACCACCCATCATGGCCTGCGGAGAAGTCCGAGCACAATCAGCAAGAGCGGCTCTGACATCTTCCCTCGCGGTCGCTCTGCTGATTCTCGCTATGGCACAGCGCGATGGTCCTCCAAACCCCGCTCGCGGGCTAGATTGTATCCTCCATCCACGATGGGGTCCAGCCGAACCAGCTTGGATGACCAGTCGTCTCTCTGGAGCCCGTCTGCCTCCAGTACGTGGAGCAAATACTCTCTCGGTAAATTGACTTCTGCATCTGTCGACTCTTTCGGATCAGATTATCCGCGCGGGGATTATCAACAGTCGATTGGTTTCGCAAACGCACTCAGCCAGGCGATTATCCGTGAGGATTCTGCGCACTCCATCACGAGTCTGGAAGAGGAAGGCGCAGCTCAGCTCCTGGAGGATGAGACTCTACAACTGGCTGGGGCTCCGTGGGCCAAAGAAGGTAGCCTCAAACACAAGCATCACTTGGATTCGGTCGACAAGAGGGCCAAGGATCGTAATTGGAATGAATGCTTCGCTGTGATTCAGCAAGGCTGGATGCGTCTGTTCTCGTTCAGCAACACGGCGAAGGCGACGCGGCCGAAACCCAAACAGCGTCCCCACGGAGGGGTCGTGGTGGGAGGTGGAAACTGGACTGAAAATGCCGAGGAAATCTGGAAATTTCTCCTGCGTCAAACCATTGCCAGTGCGCTTCCGCCCCCAGGCTATTCCAAGTCTCGTCCACACGTCTGGGCGTTGAGTTTGCCGACAGGCGCCGTTCACCTGTTTCAGGCGGGCACACCCGAGATTGTCCGGGAATTCGTCTCATCCGCCAACTACTGGAGCGCGAGATTGTCCAAAGAGCCTTTGACTGGAGGAATCAGTAACATTGAGTACGGATGGAGCGATGCCGTGATTAACAGCGCTCTGGTGCACGCCGACAGCAACAGAACGCCACCTTCATCCGGGCATCGGCCTAGCATTCAGAGCTCCATCCGCAGCTCTATTGACCAGCAGGGCATACGGCCTAGGCTGCCGGCGGACCGGGTACACATCAGTGATTGGGCGCCGCCTCAGCAGAGTATGGTGGCCTCAGCACTGCCCGAGGCCGACCAGCTGAAGGCTTTACAGACGTATGTCAAGAACGTGGAGGATGACCTGTCGCGTCACAACGAGCTTCGACCCGCCATGATTCTTGCGTTCTCACCTCGCCATCCCAACGCAGCCAAGGCGATGGCCAATTGGGAACGCAAATCCTCATATTTGCTACGGGAAATTGTGAAGTTCCGGACGTATATTGATTCACTGCAAGCGGCAATACATGCCAAAAACAAGATCTATGCAGCTCGCGAAGAAGATGCCCCCTCTTGATCAAGCAATCTGTCACCGAGACCTCAAACCCCTCTATGTCATGTTTCAGTGCCCTATACGGCCTTTTGTCGATCTTCACCAAATCCTACTCTGCCTGGAATCGGTCATTATGTTCTGCAGATATACCTCCATGCCACGACACTTGACTTCGTTTCTTTGTTGCTTCATTCTCTGCGAGAATGATGAGCCCTGACGTTATGGATATCACGATACTGTTTTCTTGTTTCTTTCGCTCTTTTTCCTTTTTCTCAAGGCTCGGTCTGAGTGTACTCTTGATGTAGGATATCTAGATTCTTAATCTACAAAATTCCCCTGGACATCTATAATCTTCTTTCTGGATTTGATCTGTCAGTAACAAAAAGCAAGTAGGGATAATGAGTCCTCTGGAACAAATGGGGTGACTTGTCTGACTGATCACACTCCCACCGGCAATAAACAACCACCACATCAGGAGGGAAGGGAAACCATCCCACACATCATTCTTCTCCGATCCCTTGCTTCTTAAAAACCTCATTCTCATCTCGTTCATCCATTGCTGCCATCTATAAGTATTAGAGCCATTGCATGTATTCAATGCAGCTGTCAAGAACATGATTTTGTACCAATGATCAGCAATCCATTGTTGTGCTGGCCTTGTCGAAGAATCATCACAACGACGAGGTAAGCTAAAGCAAAGCCTGACGCCATAAACCGGCCATGAAGCTCATGATATCTCTAGGTATCTATCTAGCTTCGATCGAATCAGACTCATTTGTTCAGGTGGATGTAGAGCAAGCAAAAGACTGTGTGCCCAGACGCTCCAAGCCGCCAACGTCAGTCTAACTAGTTAGACTAAATCATAATAATAATAACAACAATAATACGACTGTCACCATGTCGACCAATTCCGCCCTCTCGCCGCCATCCCCTCCGTCTCCAATCTTCAACGTCACTCACTGTGCGCAATCAGATCCCCTCCCGTCGTGTGTCTCGATCCCTGGCGCCTTTGATACAGACGACGAAGTGTTCGCGCCGGAGGACGAGTTTTGTGACCCTTTTGATTTGATGGTGCAGGACACCACCACACGGGGAGATCCTCCCCTCGGCGGCAATACAACAATGGACGAAGCTCACGATACAGAGAGCGATATTTACCATACGCAAGATGAGACCACACTCGATTTAGGCCGAGACGACGATCCGACCTCAACGATCGATCCGTCGGACCATGACGATTCGAATATATCCCACCTCCCTCCCTTACCCGATCACGACGACAGTAGCTTGTTCCTTTCCAGTGAGGATGGAGACCATGAGCGCGCTGATAACCAGACTTTCTTGGAAGAGAAAGAGATGCGGAGGAAATTGATGGACATGGAGTCGAGTTTCTTACCCGAGCCTTCGACAATCGAGGTCGCTGCTTCGAACCGGGCCGCGGGTATCGGCGATACTCTCTTGATCGAAGATCCCAGTGAAAATGCACATGGGCCGACCGTATCAGAGACCAACCAGTCCTCCTTGATGACACCGGACAATACATCCACTGGCGAGAGGGTGCCGGTTCCGCAAACTCCGAGTTTGGGTCCTCACGACGACAATACCATGGGCCTGGATGCTACGCCCGCTGCCGTGTCGCAGCAACATGAAGAGGATACGACCACGTTGGAAACAATATCTTCATCGCCTGCAGCGGAAGCAGCGGCGCGATCGTCGAGCAGAGTACAATCTACCTTCTCGCAGAGTTCGCAATCAATCAACAGGGTCGGCCAAGAAGAGCCCGACAATTCTACGACATTGGATCCGAGTCGCTCCATGTATCCGGCTAATCTAAGTATACAGACAAGTTTTCGGAGCTCATCGCTGGAAGGACCGAGACTTTTTCAGGACGAGATTGGCCCGGATGCAGAAGCAGCCTCCCGCACAAGCAGTCGAAGGGAGAGCAGGCCGAGATACTTGGCCAGTCGCCAGTCATCGCATCGCCTCTCATATTCGTCCGTCGCCAGCAACAACACCGAGACCACCAATAGTGATGCGACGCTGGGCGCGGACTACGCCCTTCAGTCCGGGGGCGCGGTCCCAGGCAACTCTCACCCTGCTCAAGATGACCAACGCAACAACCTGACGAGATCTATTAGCTTAGGTAGCATGGCCTCTGGCATTTCTGGCCTGAGTGACGATAATATCATGGAGAGGAGGAATCCCACCGCAGTTGCCGAGGGTGGCCTGCAAACCCTGGCTGAGGAAGAAGGCACATCACAGTCGCGACCCGGCTCATCTCAGCAGCAGCCGCTGCCGCAGGCTCAACAAGAACACCAATCGCCCGCGTTAGGGGATGTTCAAGGTCCAATGACACCAAAGGCAAAGCCTCGAGACAACGTCTTTCCAACAGACACCGCCATTGCAGAGCGTGTCAAGGACGTCCAAGTACCAAGCGCCTTTGTCAGACAGTTTCGGGAGGACTTTGCTGGTCGTCCATCGTCTCCTGAGAAGCGTGCTGGCATGCCAACTCCGGCTTTCGCCCGGAGCGGGCGAACCATGACGCTCAAAGAGCAAAGCAGCACGATTGACCGTCTGTCGAAGGAGAACTTTGATCTGAAGATGCGCATCCACTTCCTCAACGAAGCACTGAACAGGCGTTCGGAGGAAGGAATCAAGGAGATGATCTCTGAAAATGTCGAGCTGAAGTCGGACAAACTCAAGTTGCAGAAAGACAATCAGAATTTGAAGAGGAAGATCCGCGACTTGGAAAAGCAGCTCAAGGACCAACAATCGGACAAAGAGTCCACGGCTAACCACGATCCCGAGGGCTCAGACGAGGATTCCCGGGATGCTGCACAGGACGAAGAGATCCTGTATTTACGGGAGAGACAGGAGGCTTACGAACTTGAAATCGAGAGGCTGCGGTCCGAGAGTATGGTTCGGGAAAGCGAAAAGAGGAGACTCGCCGAGATGGTCAAAGCATTGAGTGACAGGCCGATGGGCTCAGAGGCCGGGGCAAGGGAAGAGAGGGTAACGAACACCAATGTCCTGTGGCGTACATCTCGATGCTTGGTACTAACATATCAATGCTACAGGATATGTGGAAAGATATGCTTGATGCAGAAACCGCAGCGCGGGAACAGGCCGAGGAGGAAAACAAGAGAATCAGGGACGAAGTACTGGCCCTTCGGAACGAATTGAACTACCTGATCGCCCCTCCAAGACCAGGGCAGCGAGACCGCGTGGGATCCATGATCTCGTATACGACAGTCTCCGACAGAGATATACCCCGCATGCCAACCCTTGGTAGTTCGTCCAGTGATACACTCGTGGAAGAGCTACGACTCCTCAGGCAGGAGAATACAGAACTCAGGAGAGAAGTCAGCGCCCAGACGTCCATGCTCACATCTCGTAACAAGGAGAAAGAGCGCCTGTACCAAGAGATCGAGGAGCTGAAACTTGGTCAGCGCCGTGACGGTGTTCGATCCATCGCCGGGGATAGCATCTTCGATCGTTCTGCTTCTCGGGCCCAGGGCAGATCCTCTTCGCGGGCCAGTGACGGTACAGGACCATCTCGAAGCGATGATACAGAACGCGAAGACCTGGAACAGCGGATTGGCCAACTGCGTGACCAAGTATCCGCGCTGAAGCTTGAGAACCAAACTATCAGGGCCCAGCTAGAGGAGCGCCTCGCGCAATACGAAGCTCTCGACAAGCAATATCAGGCCGACGTGGACGGGGCTGATGAGATGATCAATGCCCTACACCAAGAACGTGACGAAGCTGAACGAAAAACAAATGAGTGCCTTGTCAACATGCAGATTATGGACGCCCAGTATTTGGAAGATATGGATGCCCTCGAGGAGGACCTCAGACGGAAGACAGATGAATGCGAGCGTCTGGAAGAGGAGCTCCGGAATCAGGACGAGAACCTCCGGGCATTGCAAGCTGAGATGCGCTCTGCCAGTGAAGGTATCATACGGCTCGAGGAAGACGCGCAAACCAACCTGCAGCGATATGAAACCGTTCAAAGAGAGCTCCAGGACTGTAACCGAGAGATGGAGGCATTGGAGAAGAGTCTGTATGAAGCGAATACCAAGGTGCAGCGACTTACTGTCCAAATCGAATCGAGCCAAAACGAGATTGCGTTCCTGCGAGAGGAGCAAGACGGTGATAAGATCAGGATTGGGGACTTGGAGTCTGAACTTAAGACATGCCAAGTGAGCCTGCAGAGCGAAAGGGACAAGGTAAAGGAGCTGGAAGCTCGCCTGGCCGAGGAACGGCATCAACGCGAAGTCGTCGGAACCAAGGAGAAACAGGAGGTTCAGCGCATCATCAACGAACTGAACCGGGAGGCTTCTGCAGCCAAGGAGGAGGCCCGCAGGTTGAAGAAGAGCCTGTCCGCGCAAGAAATCGAAACGGCCACCTGGCGAGAGCGACTCATGGACTTGGAAAACAATCTAAGGGAGACGCTGGGCGATCTCACCGGCAGCCGGTCCAGCCTGATTTCCAACATTATGAAGTTACAAAAGGAACTCGAGTCGACAGCCTTGGAGCTTGAGAGCGTCCGGTCGAAACTCGACGAGAAAGAGTCTCTCTTGCGAAACCGCGATGCTCTTCTTGAAAGTCACGGACTCGAGTCTCGCAAGCTGGCTGAGCTCCTCGAACGTGAACGACAGGCCCGTCGGGCAGACAAGCAGTCGTTCGAACAGGCCCTCAAATCTCATCACCAGGCATCTCGCACCATTACTCAGAACAATTCACGCATTACGGACCTGGAAAATGCCCGGAGCCAGGATCGCAAGCGGTATACAGCGCTCGAACAGCAGTTCAAAGAGCAGCTCAACGAGCGAAACTCCATGCTACTGACAATGTGGAAGCGGCTGTCCGCAATGTGTGGGCCAGACTGGGCACATTCGAACAGTCTCATCAACGGAAACCTGCCCAGCCAGGAGGTGATTGGCAACATACTCTTCTGGCCAGGATTCAGCCGCAACCTCTTGCTCGCCGTCAAGACGCTGGAGAATGTGATAGCGGGATTT